TGTACAGTGTTTGTCACTTTGGCTGTGTCTAACTCCTGGAAAATGAACACTTTTCTAGGTTCCTTTAGCAAAACGCTGACTGTTATTACTGGTGTTGAAGCTACTGGACAAAGTGCTGGTTTGATGGATTGATAACCATTAGCATGACTCAAAGTGCTGGTTTGATGGATTGATAACCATTAGCATGACTTAAAGTGCTGGTTTGATGGATTGATAACCATTAGCATGACTCAAAGTGCTGGTTTGATGGATTGATAACCATTAGCATGACTTAAAGTGCTGGTTTGATGGATTGATAACCATTAGCATGACTTAAAGTGCTGGTTTGATGGATTGATAACCATTAGCATGACTTAAAGTGCTGGTTTGATGGATTGATAACCATTAGCATGACTTAAAGTGCTGGTTTGATGGATTGATAACCATTAGCATGACTTAAAGTGCTGGTTTGATGGATGGATAACCATTAGCATGACTTAAAGTGCTGGTTTGATGGATGGATAACCATTAGCATGACTTAAAGTGCTGGTTTGATGGATTGATAACCATTAGCATGACTTAAAGTGCTGGTTTGATGGATGGATAACCATTAGCATGACTTAAAGTGCTGGTTTGATGGATGGATAACCATTAGCATGACTTAAAGTGCTGGTTTGATGGATGGATAACCATTAGCATGACTTAAAGTGCTGGTTTGATGGATTGATAACCATTAGCATGACTTAAAGTGCTGGTTTTCGGGGTTTCCTGGATGTGTTTTGGCGGTTATCCTGAAATACGGTCTGTGGTTGACACAGACTTTAACGTTTTGTTTGGTGGTGTGTGACTCACGGCCACGTTGCGTATCTGCAGTCCAGCGAACCAGCGTAGCTGCTCCAGGACGGCGAGGAAGACCTCGGTCTGATGAGGAGGAAGAGTCTCCAGCGCTGCCCTCAGTACCGCCCCCATGTGGCTGAGCGTGCACGCTGCTCCAAACTCAATACCTAAAGAAACACGATCCAGCGTTTAGAGAGACCGGTTTGTGGGTCCCCAGGTAGATAGATATTACGATCCAATGTAATGTCATGCAAACACTTTACTGACATGAACTCAGACCCTACTAAACTCTTTGGATCGCTTTGTCCCCAATTTAGCCCACAAGCTAACAGTCGAGCATCATTGTTTGTCTATTTTGCATCTTTCTTAGACAAACTGCATAATTTCATTTATTTATTTTCACATTTTGCACCAACTACTTTAGTCATATCTTCCTTTGGAGTATAGCATCCATTTGTACATGGAAATATAAAAATATGATCGTTTGTAATAATGAATGAAATCTGCAAAGCTACTGGTTACTGACGTCATCAAGTCAAACTGAAAGCTCTCTAATGACTCGGATCATTTACCGTCCTCAGTGTGTGTGACGTGGCTCATCTCGGGGAGGAAGGCCGGAGCGAGGATCACAGGGTACACCATGTTCTTAAACTTCACCTCGATCCCTGCAAAACACACACACACACACACACACACACACACACACACACACACACACACACACACACACACACACACACACACACACACACACACACACACACACACACACACACACACACACACACACACACACACACACACACACACACACACACACACACACACACACACACACAGTGAGTGTCAGGTGATGAATGAATGAATGAATGAGGTATGGAGAAGCCCACTGACCCACTTCGGTGTTCCCCACCACCACCCGGGCCTCGGGGTGTTCCCACTTCAGATTCAGGAGCTCCTGCAGAGAGCCGGGCTGAAACCAGGTGCTCCGAGAGCCCCGGAAACACAGAGAGGACGACCTCTGACCTCTGGAGAGGGTCTGCAGGGGGAGGGAGATATTAAGGGTTTCTGGAGGTCAGATTGAATCCAAAATAACATGTTTACAATGATTCCTGTTGAGTCTCTGGTCCGTCTTCTACGCTGATGATACTCTGGTTTATGTGTCGTGATGAGACGCTGAATACGTTCACACACACACACACACACACACACACACACACACACACACACACACACACACACACACACACACACACACACACACACACACACACACACACACACACACACACACACACACACACACACACACACACACACACACACACACACACACACACACACAGGACACACAACATACTACAGACTAGTGTTAATTTCGTTGCCTAAACCTATGACGAAATATGTTCGTCAACAACCTTTTTTTCCATGACTAAAACGAGACGATGGCGAGACGGCACCGACGGCAGTAAACAATAACTGTAACGAAATCATCGAAAAGTGACGAGACGCCAGCAGTTCCATTTCCTGTGCTGCGGCTGGGCAGCAGCTGTGTGTCTGTGCTGCGGCTGGGCAGCAGCTGCGTGTCTGTGCTGTGCGCGGCGGTACATTTGAATTACACCGGGCAGCGGCACACTGTGAACTGTCAGGAAGACTCGGGTCTAACTCAGGGTCTAACTCAGGGTCTAACTCAGGGTCTAACTCAGGGTCTAACTCATGGTCTAACTCATGGTCTAACTCATGGTCTAACTCAGGGTCTAACTCAGGGTCTAACTCAGGGTCTAACTCATGGTCTAACTCAGGGTCTAACTCATGGTATAACTCATGGTCTAACTCATGGTATAACTCATGGTCTAACTCATGGTCTAACTCATGGTCTAACTCAGGGTCTAACTCAGGGTCTAACTCAGGGTCTAACTCATGGTCTAACTCATGGTCTAACTCATGGTCTAACTCATGGGTTGCGTTCGAATACTCCAAAAAAACAGCTCCTAAGTTCTAACCCTATCGTCTATCCCTTGACCTCGGAGTGAAACGTCATGGGGTTAAGGGATAGTGGATAGGAGAATTCAAAAGGATTTAGGAGAAGAGACTGCGGCACTTTAGAGAATCCGACTGCACTTTCACTATCCGACGTGTTTATGATGCGCCAGCAGAGGTCATAAATGTGCGCCTGCTGCTGTGGGGAAACTATGGAAACTACAGTTTTCTATACAGCGGACTACAACATGGATGTTTAATAAGAACGAGGGACTACTGTAAACTCATCTAGAGACTCTGCACCGTGCTCTGATGCTGTTATGCTTTATGAACGGGGACAACAGAGAAACATATTCTTCATGACCAAAGTTGAAATTGAAATAAAAAAGGAAAGTGAAACTTATGCTCGTCACCCTCTCCCTCCGGTCCACATTAATACAAATGATCCCAATACGTATGATTGTATGAAAAGATCTTAAAATCAATACAAATGTATTTATTATAAACGTTAGTCCTTAACATCTATCACTGTGTATATCACCATTCAAACATCTTTTAAAAGTTGAACAAACCCCACACAGCTCAGTAAAGACTGTGAAATGTTGACTTTATTTGATCATTTCAGTAAAAACTAACGTTCATATTTCTCTTTTTGATTATAATACTGATGAACGTTCAAAACAAAGCACTTTGGCAACTTACCACATACGTTTTAAAATGCTTAATAAGCACCGTAACTTTCATGATATCATTTCTCGTTCATAATCGGTTGTTTCCGTGAACGGCCGACTGTTGTGTGACGGCAAATGCTGCGGCCGCAAGGCATTGTGGGGCAGCATGTTCTCCTCTCCTTTCGGTTAGGGAGGTCCAGTGGTTCCTAGGCTAAAGGAGGTTATAAAGGAAGTTTGAAACCTCCTTTCCTTTTAATTTAGAGAATTCGAACGGCACTTATCATGGCTGCCACTGAGGGACTTCCGGGTCATTTCACTCCGTTAGGAAGGTTCCTAAGCTAAATGGACTATTCGAATGCAACCATGGTCTAACTCAGTATAACTCATGGTCTAACTCAGGGTCTAACTCATGGTCTAACTCAGGGTCTAACTCAGGGTCTAACTCAGGGTCTAACTCATGGTCTAACTCAGGGTCTAACTCATGGTCTAACTCAGGGTCTAACTCAGGGTCTAACTCAGGGTCTAACTCATGGTCTAACTCATGGTCTAACTCATGGTCTAACTCATGGTCTAACTCAGTATAACTCATGGTCTAACTCATGGTCTAACTCAGGGTCTAACTCAGGGTCTAACTCAGGGTATAACTCAGGGTCTAACTCAGGGTCTAACTCATGGTCTAACTCATGGTCTAACTCATGGTCTAACTCAGGGTCTAACTCAGGGTCTAACTCAGGGTCTAACTCATGGTCTAACTCATGGTCTAACTCATGGGTTGCGTTCGAATACTCCAAAAAATCAGCTCCTAAGTTCTAACCCTATCGTCTATCCCTTGACCTCGGAGTGAAACGTCATGGGGTTAAGGGATAGTGGATAGGAGAATTCAAAAGGATTTAGGAGAAGAGACTGCGGCACTTTAGAGAATCCGACTGCACTTTCACTATCCGACGTGTTTATGATGCGCCAGCAGAGGTCATAAATGTGCGCCTGCTGCTGTGGGGAAACTATGGAAACTACAGTTTTCTATACAGCGGACTACAACATGGATGTTTAATAAGAACGAGGGACTACTGTAAACTCATCTAGAGACTCTGCACCGTGCTCTGATGCTGTTATGCTTTATGAACGGGGACAACAGAGAAACATATTCTTCATGACCAAAGTTGAAATTGAAATAAAAAAGGAAAGTGAAACTTATGCTCATCACCCTCTCCCTCCGGTCCACATTAATACAAATGATCCCAATACGTATGATTGCATGAACTATGAAAAGATCTTAAAATCAATACAAATGTATTTATTATAAACGTTAGTCCTTAACATCTATCACTGTGTATATCACCATTCAAACATCTTTTAAAAGTTGAACAAACCCCACACAGCTCAGTAAAGACTGTGAAATGTTGACTTTATTTGATCATTTCAGTAAAAACTAACGTTCATATTTCTCTTTTTGATTATAATACTGATGAACGTTCAAAACAAAGCACTTTGGCAACTTACCACATACGTTTTAAAATGCTTAATAAGCACCGTAACTTTCATGATATCATTTCTCGTTCATAATCGGTTGTTTCCGTGAACGGCCGACTGTTGTGTGACGGCAAATGCTGCGGCCGCAAGGCATTGTGGGGCAGCATGTTCTCCTCTCCTTTCGGTTAGGGAGGTCCAGTGGTTCCTAGGCTAAAGGAGGTTATAAAGGAAGTTTGAAACCTCCTTTCCTTTTAATTTAGAGAATTCGAACGGCACTTATCATGGCTGCCACTGAGGGACTTCCGGGTCATTTCACTCCGTTAGGAAGGTTCCTAAGCTAAATGAACTATTCGAATGCAACCATGGTCTAACTCAGTATAACTCATGGTCTAACTCAGGGTCTAACTCATGGTCTAACTCATGGTCTAACTCATGGTCTAACTCAGGGTCTAACTCATGGTCTAACTCAGGGTCTAACTCATGGTCTAACTCAGGGTCTAACTCAGGGTCTAACTCAGGGTCTAACTCATGGTCTAACTCATGGTCTAACTCATGGTCTAACTCATGGTCTAACTCAGTATAACTCATGGTCTAACTCATGGTCTAACTCAGGGTCTAACTCAGGGTCTAACTCAGGGTATAACTCAGGGTCTAACTCAGGGTCTAACTCATGGTCTAACTCATGGTCTAACTCAGGGTATAACTCAGGGTCTAACTCATGGTCTAACTCATGGTATAACTCAGTATAACTCATGGTATAACTCATGGTCTAACTCATGGTCTAACTCAGGGTATAACTCAGGGTCTAACTCATGGTCTAACTCATGGTCTAACTCAGGGTATAACTCATGGTCTAACTCATGGTCTAACTCATGGTCTAACTCATGGTCTAACTCATGGTCTAACTCATGGTCTAACTCAGTATAACTCATGGTCTAACTCATGGTCTAACTCATGGTCTAACTCATGGTCTAACTCATGGTCTAACTCAGGGTCTAACTCAGGGTCTAACTCATGGTCTAACTCATGGTCTAACTCATGGTATAACTCATGGTCTAACTCATGGTTCTACTCATGGTCTAACTCAGTATAACTCATGGTCTAACTCATGGTCTAACTCAGGGTCTAACTCAGGGTCTAACTCATGGTCTAACTCATGGTCTAACTCATGGTCTAACTCATGGTATAACTCATGGTCTCAGGGTCTAACTCATGGTCTAACTCATGGTCTAACTCATGGTATAACTCATGGTCTAACTCATGGTATAACTCATGGTCTCAGGGTCTAACTCAGGGTCTAACTCAGGGTCTAACTCATGGTATAACTCATGGTCTAACTCATGGTCTAACTCATGGTCTAACTCAGTATAACTCATGGTCTAACTCATGGTCTAACTCAGGGTCTAACTCAGGGTCTAACTCAGGGTCTAACTCAGGGTCTAACTCATGGTCTAACTCATGGTCTAACTCAGGGTATAACTCAGGGTCTAACTCATGGTCTAACTCATGGTATAACTCAGTATAACTCATGGTATAACTCATGGTCTAACTCATGGTCTAACTCATGGTCTAACTCAGGGTATAACTCAGGGTCTAACTCATGGTCTAACTCATGGTCTAACTCAGGGTATAACTCATGGTCTAACTCATGGTCTAACTCATGGTCTAACTCATGGTCTAACTCATGGTCTAACTCATGGTCTAACTCAGTATAACTCATGGTCTAACTCATGGTCTAACTCATGGTCTAACTCATGGTCTAACTCATGGTCTAACTCAGTATAACTCATGGTCTAACTCATGGTCTAACTCAGGGTCTAACTCAGGGTCTAACTCATGGTCTAACTCATGGTCTAACTCATGGTCTAACTCATGGTATAACTCATGGTCTCAGGGTCTAACTCATGGTCTAACTCAT